ATGGTGTCAAGAGCTGTCTCAAGTGAGGTAAAATAATCCACAGAAGGAGGACAACATACAACACCTAAAACTGCCCTAGCACCCATAATGTTTATTTCTAGAAATAAAAACTTAGCAGTGGCAGAAAATGGGGAGGGGGAAGATAGAACAACTTTATAAGGAATAAATTTTCGTAGGTATATAGCCACACCACCTCAGTCCCTTCTCAGTCCGATCATTGCGTATAAGAATGAAATTGGGTAATGTGTACAAACTCGACATAATAGATGGTTTTAGCCAACTCTCAGATATTAAGATAGCATCGACACAGTCTAGTGAGAATGCTTCTTCTAAGTAAGAAAAATGACTTGGAATGCTCTGTGCATTAATATGACAAACATTAAAATATTTTTATGAGGCAGAAAAATATTAATTAACTGATCGCGTAGGGGAAGTAAATTATCTGTAAGATCATTACCAGAGGCGTATGAGGAATCTGAACTATAAATGGAATAAAAAGATTCATCATCAGACATTATTAACTTCTAAATAGATTTATATATAATATGTATATTAGATAATAATAAATAATAAAATATTAAATATTAACAATTAATCTTTCCCAATGAAAACAAAATCAAATGTTTAATTTGTTAGTGTCTGTAACCAAATCATTTCTTGAAATCAATGTTAACAGGGATATAGTAAAAATTGTAAAATTTAGTCATGATATAAAGCAACATCCGTTTGCTAACAGTATTTTAGAAACATTAAAACACACTAGGCCTTTGCCTGTACTAGGCGTATCGTAATTACAACAATATTCTTTATAGCATAGCATAAAGCATAAATACTCACGCCTGTCACCCAGAGGGGTAGGCAGAGACCACGGACTTCCATTTGACACGATCCTGACATACCTCTTTCGCCTCCTTTACATCCATATATCTACGCATACATGCTCGTCGGTTAAGGGTACTTTTAACGTGGCCCATTTTCAAAATATCGCCAATATGGTCGATAAACTTTTTTCTAGGGCGTCCCTTCCCGACTCTGCCGTTCACATCTGCCATATAAATTTGTTTTGTCACTCTTACCTCATTCATTCTTTCTACATGACCAAACCACCGAAGAATTCCAATCCTGGTCACAACATCATCTTGCATACCACATTTATCTCTTATCATGCAATTTCTCATCCTGTCATTCAGATTCAACCCTAGCATACTCCTTAAAGACCGCATTTCTACAGCATTTATTCTACTTTAGTTCTTCTTCTGCCACACCCAGCTTTCACTAAAATAAATTAAAGTAGGGACTAACACAGCATTATGAATTACCATACGTGCCTTTTTTGACACATTCTGGTTCTTCACAATAGAGTGTAGTGCCCCATTCACTCTATTCCCTGCATTTACTCGTCGTTCTATATCCTTATCATATCTACCATCCTTGCTAAATACACATCCCAAATACACAAACTCATCCACTTGCTCAATTAACTCTCCTTCTATTCTTATTTCACATACCGTTTTGCTTTTCTCTCTTTCAAAAACCATCACTTTCGTCTTACTTGCGTTCACGTTCATTCCCCTTTCTTTTAATGCCCAGTTCATTAATGTTAACCATCATTTGCAACTCAGCCGCCGATGACGCAAATATGACTTGATCATCGGCATACAAAAGGCACTTGACGGTTAACTCGCCCATTCTTAACCCACATTCTTCATCTTTCAAAGTTTGCAAACACCTGTCCATAAATAGGTTGAACAGCCAAGGGGAAGCCACACAGCCCTGTCTGACACCCTTTCGGATGCCAAACCAGTCCGAGTAGACCCCATTGATCCTGACACAAGCACTAGAATCCCTATAAAGAGACCTCAATGCCTGTATCAAACCAGCGCTCAACCCATATGAGTTCAGTGTTTGCCATAACACATTCCTGTCCACTCTGTCATAAGCCTTTTCCAAGTCCATGAACGCACAAAAAACTTTCTGGTTTTTAGCCAAAAACTTCTCCGCAATCATGCGCATGCAAAAGACTTGATCTGTACACCCCATTCCCTTTCTAAAACCCGCTTGCACATCCCAAATTTTTCCATCAGTTTCTTTCATAACTCTTTCAATTAACACCTTAGCGTACAGTTTACCCACAATACTAAGCATTAATATTAACATTAATATTGTTTATCTTTACAAAGTAACAAAATAACAGTTTGTTTATATGTATTTTTCTACCTACTTTATTACCAACAATATTATAATACTATTATTAACTGCTTTATTCTTATTATAAAAAGTAAATAAGAAAACAATATTAAACCCTTATTAGTTTAGTTAAATCAATTAAACTTAGAAGATAAATATAATGCAACGATAATTACTACGATACGATCATTAGAAATAATAAAAAGCTTGAATGATACCAAGTATCATAGGACTGAATAAAGTAAACTTAATTATTTTAAATTATTATAGCCTAGGGAGAAGAAAGTAATACCGAAAACCTACACAAATAATACTTCTTATGAAAAATAATATGATAGTTGATGAGATCTGTCTGCGATCGACACATTTCTTAACTTCTTGTTTGACATTCGGGGAACGCTGTATCACTTTAATTTGATCTCGTACAAAGGAAGCTAAGGAGTCCAAGCCACCTCTCCCCCTCTTTTCAGTTCTTGAGCGCAGCCACCGATGCCACATTTATCTAAAAACTGCTCTAAGCCAGTGATGTTCGCGGATGATATAGCTTTAAGATCGAATATCTGGTCTAAATATGAAGAGGCTAACATTCGCTTATCTTCATATTTGTTTTTAAGCGTTTCGAATATTAACAAATAATTGTTTGCTGTTGGTGTGAAACCCGAACAAATGGACTGTGCCCTACCACTCAATTTACTAATTAAATAATACAATCTTTCAGCGTCCGATAACGATGGATTATTATGTACGTTGTTTTGAAAGCTATTAACAAACAACGGCCACGCTTTAATATCTCCATTGAATACCTGAATATCTATGGGGGGGGGGGGGGGCAATCTAAGTGATTCACGTGGGCGTACCTGGATTTCTGGTTTTGCTTCGCTTTGGGCTGGAGACTGTAAGAGCTTTGCCGTCCTTTTTATGCGACACAACATATCTTCAAATGATAGAAGTGGTTGATAGTTTACTGTATACTTAGGGTCGATGTAATTAATGTAATTCTAAACTATTAATTTTGTCTCGCCCCCAATCTATTTTCGTAATCCGATCGCAAAGAGTCCACCGTTTCGATTTCACATAAAAACGTTTCCCGCACTGAATCTACGTTAATATTTTTTATGTGATCACTTATATATTGTATACGTGAAAAGAGTACGTCCCTCTTGGCGTAAAGAGTTTTAAGTTTAATTTCATTTCCACTAACTGTCGTCTTGAATCACTATAATTAATATTACATTAATCGCGAACAATATCGTACAACGTTGGAAGATGAACACAATGCGCCACAACTATATCTCACAACACGCTATTGTCTTATCGTGCCGTATTACGTCGTTAAATTGAACACTTTGTCAGTAATTTTTTTTTGTGTGAAGGTAACTTGTAATCAAACACGCGTCGACTAGGTAAGAATTTAAAACTCGTATAAATGTTACAAATAGCGGGTAAGATAAATAAAATTAAGCGGGTCTAACTATTTAAATAAATAAGTATCTATTTACCTATGCGAATAAACTAACCAAAATTTAAACTAAAACAAAAACTACATAAATCTATCCAATATTAAATTAGAGTGTATTGTCCAAGGAATTGGTTCAGCAGTTCGACTCGATGAGGCTACAGGGCACCAGTTCCAAATCCTGCTCGAAGGACCAGAAAAATGGTTGGGTGGCGGGCCTAAGGGTTCCCGAGTTCGATTCCCAGGTTGAGCCTTGACCCTATTGTGCGAGATGTTATACTAGTTGGACTGTATACGCGGATGGGTTCTTATGCCTCAACAAGATGGCGGACGTGGCACGCGGCACCTTGGACAATGCACTCGCTCTTCCAAATCTATTGCTTGCCATGGTTAGGATGGAATTCTACTTGAGCACATTAGAAGAAACAAAATGGGGCGGATTAACTAACAAACAAAATGCTCAAGTAGGAGCAAAATTACGGGAAAACACACTTATCGGAGTGTGATTCCGATGCGGCGGACGACGCTTCCGTTGCGGTGATGCGACGTGAGGTGGGTTCTTCTGTTGCGCCCCAGAGATGCGATCCAGGCCAGTAGTACGAAGGAAGAGAGCGGTGCGCGACGATACCACACACTATGTGAGGCGGTTACTTCTGGAGCGCGACTGCTCCAGGTGGTGCGGTTCAGACTAGCGGCGCGTGGCAAGAGGCCGCTCGAGGGCAGCGCGCGAGCCTATATTGCCTCGGCTTTCCCACCAATGCACCTCGGTCGGGCGCGCGTCTCATTGGTCGAAAGAATCGCGTCACCTTCTAAGACTCCCCCCTTTCCCCTTTCAGTGTGTACGGAAGGGACGTGAGGTCAAAGGAAGGATAAACACTTGGCAAATATACCCTCGAACAAAATTAAAATACACGAATCGTTTCCGCGTAACCATCGTGTGTTAAAATAAAGTCACCATTGTAGTGCCACATTGTATTAGTGTTAAGTGTAGAGTAAGAGATTAGTCTAATTATAAAATACACGAATCGTTTCCGCGTAACCATCGTGTGTTAAAGTAAAGTCACCATTGTAGTGCCACATTGTATTAGTGTTAAGTGTAGAGTAAGAGAGTAGTCTAATTATAGATCGTAACAGCAACACATCTCTTCATTGATAACTTCCCACAATATAACTATCTGTGGTGATGGTAGATTTCACGCTTGTCATTAGCAAGATGGTTTTACTATCAGAAGCTATAAGATCTTTTTTAGAATATCTCATAGTCGCCCCTTACGACGCCCACCCGACTAAATGGGATAATGAATTCTCTTACAACGCAACATCTACCACATCATATAAAAAATCGTTTCTTCAACAGAGAAAGAGATGACCGGCGAGATCGCGACCGCGATAGAGGTCGAGACCGGAGAGACAGAGACCGCGACAGACACAACAAGGATAGTAATAACAGGTGAGCGGTAGATAGACTATATCATATCAATATGTGAAGTGGAAACTTTGTACCCCTTTCCATATGCTTAATATTGCGCTCACGGAGGAGTGTGAGATTTCGCATAGTTAAACATTATTTGGAGAAGGAGTACAGAAAGCTAGAAATTTATATATAATATGTGTATCATAAATTGATGGTCATTAGTAATAGTAATTGTTGCAGGGACCGTAGCAGGGAGAAATCCCCACGTGGCAGCGGTGGTAGTGGCAGTGGGCTTGAAGGCGAGAAGAGTCTGCAGGAGAGACTGTGGGAAATGGCCAACGGGGCCTCTGAAGCACGCACCAATCGGGATACACGTGATGCGCGTGACTCACGAGACTCCCGTGACTCACGGGACCCTCGTGACACACGGGACCCTCGCGACGCACGGGACTCGCGTGACAAACGTGAACCCCGTGACCCACGGGATCACACACCTGTGCACGACGACAATGGTCAGATACGCTGCTTTCATACCTTCACTCCTTACTTTCATTCATTTACTCACTCCTTACTTGCTTTCATCCTTCCTTTGAAATTTACTTTTTAATTCGACTATAGATTATCAGTTCGAGTATAACAAGTCAGGAGATGGGCAGTAGCGTCTTCCGAATAACGTCTAAAAATAAAAATAAACTGCGGTCGTCAATCCGCTTGCCCAAGCGTGGCAACTTTGGAAAATATCCCCACTATGAGGTAATCTATGTGGGAGGCCTATATCCAGCAGTGGACTTTAATAGGCTGTAACCATAACAGTAACAAAAATAAACTAAACGAAACACTTATGAAATCCATTCAATTCTTGTTTGTCACAGAGGTATTTCAAAGATGTAGAAGATTGAAATTTGTCGCCTAAATACAGACATTGAAAATTCGAATTTTCGTTTTATAGCTTCGTTTTGATAGATCAAACATCGACTAAAAACGCCGAAGCGTCATTTGATTTAAAAGTGTATGAGTTTATTTAACATCTGTGCGAAAGTACTTCAATATTTATGATCTCCATGGTATTTCCAAATCATCGCTAAGAAAAGTCGGAAAAAACAACGAATAGAGATGATAATAAATGCCGTGTAATGGCGGTGTAAGAATATGCCCTACGGCAAAACCCACTACAAAATAATCGAAAAAGTTACAGCCTATATACATCCCACTACTGGGCACAGGCCTCCTCTCATTTCTGAGAGGGTTTTAGGGCAAGAAAATGTCCGGCAAGCTGTGTGTGTTGGATGTCTTCGAAATATTTTTTTTTGTTCTTATTTATCAGACATGCAGGTTTCCTCTTGTCTGTTTACTTAAAATTGCAATTAACAATTTCATTGATTCCCGCGGGGATCGAACCCGGGTTGCTCTCTTACTGTTAAGTTTACAGCAAGCACTTAGCTACTTGAGCTTGAACTTGAGCTACCACGGCTCATGATCATATTAATTCAAACAAAATCAAGTCAATGAATTTATAAATTGTTTAATTAAAACTTCAGGTGTTTCATAAACAGTAACTCATTTTAATAATTATTTACATATTTGTTTTTTAAGAAAAATGTTTTTTAAATTCAGAAATATTCCAACACACAGAATATTTTTTTTATTGTTATTGTGCCCGTATGTGGTGATTGTGTGAGTAATGGCGGTTTAAGAATATCCACTGCTTTATTTTGGTGTCGGTGTCGCCATAGGCGTCAGAGGAAACAAACGAGGAAATCGACAGCAGCGTCTCCCTAATAACACCTACAAAACCAAGCATGCCAACTATGTGAAATATCCATACTTTCGGCAGTGATGATAAATTGTTCTAATGTTACTCATGTCTGGGACTATTAATTTATGATTTTTTTTTATAGAATGAAGGTACCTGATGGTAAGTGGATGCTGTGGCCCATAGACATCTACATTTATCCTGGATTAAGAATCAAAACGCAGATGCGTTGTCACCCCTGAGGACTAAGAGGCTATGCCTCGTTTCCATTAAAAAAGGATCTCTGTTTCTCTTCACTTACCATACGAAACACAAAAGCATTAAGCTGCTGTTTTACGCTGGTATTCTGTGAGAGCGTGGTCCTTCCCCGGTCGAGTCGGTCTTTTGATCTTTTGGAATCTCTTTCATCATTCTCATCATTATAACCCATCACAAGTCCACTGCTGATAAAGGGCTCCCGCAAGAAAAGCCATCCTCCATTTAATCAAAATTTTAAAATCATAAATCTCTTTGTTTTGTTCATTTATCTATAACAAGGGGGGTGGATGTGCAATTACAGAAGGTGGACCGCCATCGGTTGAAGACGCACCGGGAAGTGGAGGGCCACCAGCAGTCGGGGGACCCATGGGAGCCGGTGGACCCCAAGGGGGTCCGTCGGGTGCAAGTGTCCCACCAGGAACTGGAATGCTTCCGGGTCCTGGGGGGCCGTCGAGTGTTGGGATGCCACCGGGTGCTGTAATGGCACCGGGTTCCGGGATGCCACCCGGTATCGGATTACCGCCGGGAGCCGGTATGCCCCCAGGATTAGGGGGGCCTCCGGGACCTCCGGGCTGGCCGCCGCGACTCGGCCCTCCACCATTCCGCCCCGGTGAGTTTTACCTCGCTACTCTCACAACTTTATGATAATTTGATGTTGTTAATGGTAGAGATATTGTAAAACAACAAGTAGTTTATTTCGTCCCTATACCTCTTATCATTGGTCTACCAGACGCTTTGCCAGTCTCCACCTCTTGGTTATTGACATACCATGCATTCACATCGAATAGTTTGCTTAGTTGTTTGTAGAGTGAAATAATTACCGGTGTCCATCATTCTTTCCAGTTGTACAATGTGAATTACTTTAAGGCCACAATGAATAGATTTTTGTATTACTAAACTAGTATAATTTCTTCCTCTCCAACCTAACTGTGACCAATGTTGGTAAATGCCTTCTGCAATGAGAACCAATGGATAGGTTAGACGTGAAGTTTTTAGTCATAATAGGAGATGTTTGTTATCCTGATATCATATTTAAAAGCTTCGACTTTAAAATAATATTTTTGATGGGTCTATATCAATAGTGTTAGCAAATAAGTTTTATTTAGTGTATGGTCCTAATGTGAATCTAAGAAATCATTATTAACTCAAGCTTTGTTTTTCCTCTACCTCTTAACAAAGTCTACTATCTGCGGAATTTATTTTAATAAATTGAATTTTCAAATAAAACAACCCAAAATAATAAACAGGCTAACATAGAGAACCGTGGATGTTAAAGCGCTATTGGTACTTAACTCTCACTACAGTCAACCAAATATAAGAAATACATTTTGACAGCTGTCAGACTTATTGCACTAAGCATGCCAACCAAAAAATGGGAGCGTACAATATTCGATTCTTAAAAAAATCTATATCGATTATTTACAGTTGGTAATCATTTACAATTTGGTTTGAATAATACTAGAATAAATTAAAAACGGATTATTTAAAACACAAGATTTATCAGTTTCTTCGTATTTGTTGTTACTGCTTATTTCTAGAGGCATAGTTATAAAAATTTAAGATTGAAACTAGATTTAAAAAAATTGTCTAATCACTTTCAGTACAACTAGTTGAGCTGTCGCTGTTTAGATTAATTAATATTTGATTTTCAATAATGCAGTCAAAATTAAAGTCTCTTTCAAAGTCATCCATAATCAATTTGTTGTTTTTTTTTACCACTTTTGCCCAATCATCCTTTGTAACATGGGCACATGCTTCAACGAGTATAGAAGAAACAGTCCAAAAAGTTAAAGCCGAGTCACAAAATAAGAAGACAAACACAAAATCACAAAATGTCGCACAGTAAGCTCCCGAAATGGCGGGAGCGGTTTTTTCAGCGTGACCTTGTATAAGAGTTTTTTTTTTGCCTACACAAATTTACGTTAACAAATTTAAAAAAATAGACTTGTTTTATTCATGATTAATGTAATTTAAGGAATTTCAAAAATAAAAATTTAATTAAACAAATAATTAATTAAAAAAAAATATGTTTCGAGTATTTGAATATTTTTGCCGATTATTCGCATAACAATGAATTTTAATCATCCAAATACTACGGTAAGGTGCATAGCGACATATCATTGAAACGGCGTCAAGTAAAAAAGTTGATACTGGTTATTTTTATAATATTTTGCTTTGTTTGAAAGATTCGAATTTAAATTAGTGATAATGATGAAAAACTATACACATTGTTATGAAATATATATATAACTTCATAATTCTTCGGATTTACGTAAAAGGTTATTTTAAATCGTGTGAGTACGCTTGTGCAAAGTTATTGCGAAATTATTAATGTGAAACATCAAAAGGTTTCTTAGATCTGGTTGACCATAGTATAAAGCCTGCAAAACCACACAAGTGGAGAAGAATTAGAGTAGTTCTTACTTCCTCTACTCACTACTCCACTGCATAAAAACGGACATCCCAAGTTTTCATAGTTTTATACATTTAGAAAAGCCATTCATCATTTCATTGGTTACCCATTGCTTTAGAAATTAATTACCCTCTAGCCTAGTATCTTAAGTATTTTTGCTTTGGTGTTTCACATTTTGACACGGGTTCGATTCCCAAATGGAATAAGTATTTGCATAGTCTACAAATAATTATTTCGTACTTTAATATTTGTCTATATGCCTGAGCTTAGTGTATGTGCTATCTCTGAATGTAAAATACCAATAATAAATGCTTAATGGTATTGCTTTTTTTACCCAAAAATCGATACTTTATAATTTTGTTGCAACATATGATTGAGATTTAAGTATTTATTTTCCGTTAAGTATATCACTATTTAAGAACACAATAACACTAAGCCACTTCGTGGAATATTGACTTAAGATAACTTAATTGCGGTTTATAGTTGTTACTATATATAGAAAGTTAAATTATCAAAGCTTAAAATATACGAAAACATACTATTTTCATAAAATAGTTGAGCGCAATAGAAAATTTTAGTATATCTATAGAGTCTGCGGTAGAAGGTATCTATTCCACGTAATAGCTTGTAAGGTTTGATACCACCATCTTACCTATTTCTGCCTCAAATACAAGCTGTTTAAGCAGCTTCTTAACAGCTGTGTAGCTGTTTAAACATAACAATAAGCCGTGGCCTTTATTTTTCAAAGTTGGTTACAGCTCTCCATGGAATGAATTATTCATTTTTCATTAGGTGGACTGTTATTATAAAAAAAATTAAAGTTTAACAATCTATTAAAAGCAAATTTAGAGGATAACCCAATCTGTCAGTACAGATCAATACTTTCAATTTCCAGAAATGAGAATGAGGGGGCCGCCCTTCGGAGCACCTATAAGAGGTACGACCTGCGACCTATCGCATTCTACGTCTCTGTAAATGGTTTCGCTAATAGTACAAACTCTTATCTTTTCAGGGCCATGGATGGACATGCAGGGGCCTCCGTTTGGGCCTCGCTTCAACGGAATGGGGCCTCCGCCCTTCAACAGGCCGCCCTTCGACAGACCTCCATTTGATGGCGGGCCCATGTTTGACGGACCCCCACGCTTCGAGAGACCTCCTTTCAACCGCATGCCCTTCGACATGAACAGACCACCTTTTGATGGTCCGAGGCCACCTTTCGACGGACCTCGACCTCCGTTTGATGGTCCTCCCAGACAATTCGACGGCGAAAGGCCTTTCGATGGTCCCAGATTCGAAGGTCCCCCAGAATTCTTCGATAGGAGCAATAGAAGGTTTGAAGAAAGGGAACAGTCTAACGAAAGGGGCTGGAACGGAGACAGGGAAAAAGATCGCGATTGGGACAGAAGAAACGAATGGGACGACAGGAGAAAAGAACGCAGAAGTAGAGAACGGGAAGACAGATTTAGAGATAGAAATGACAGGAGAAATAATTTTGATGAGAGACCGAGGCAGTCGCGAGACGATAGGACTCCTAGAAGAGATAAGGACAGGAAGTCACGTTGGGGCGCTCCCGATGAAAACGTACAAAGTGAAGAACAAGAAAACGTTCAAGAAGATAGAGCTGAAATGGAAAGTCAGGAAGTTGGAAACGACGTTCAAGAGATGGTAGAAACTAGTCAATATGAACAAAATGTACATAACGACGACTATAACGAAGATAACACGATGGAAGAAGGAGAAAGGCAGCAAGATACGTCATTAGATGAGTCGTACGATAAGAACACTTCCCCGGAACCACAAGAAAGTGTTAACGAAGAGGCTAGTTATGGCAATGATAATAATGAAAGTTTCAAAGAGCAAGAGGGCAGAGAACCCATAACTGAGACAAATGAAGTTGGAGCTCCAGGTCTTTACGACGAAAGTGACGCCGTGGACACTAGTTTTTCAATAGCACCTCCAGCTGAAAATAATTTCGAGCCTCCAGCCGCTCAAGAAGAACACGTCACTGAAACTGCAGAGAGCTCAAAATCAATTGATATGTTCAATTCAGAAGAAAGTAATACTCAAAAAGAAATTACAGAAGCACTGAGCGCAGAGATCAACGAAGGGCTTGCTTGACACAGGAAGAAATGGAAATTCGGGTATTTCCAGTGGAAATGATTCGGGTGACGCGTGCGAGACCCGAAGTGAAGCGAAGCGATCGCGGGGAGTTGTTGCTTCGCCTTCCGAAGCTATCGAATCTGATTCGGCCGCGATAATCGTGTTTTTTATAAGGGCACACAGTCTACCTGATAGTAATTAGATGGTACATTCTATGGACACCTCGACTAACAGTTTGTCACTTCTACTAAAATGTAATGCCTCGTTTACACTCCGGTTCTCTATGCTAACCATACGAAATATATCAGCATTAATCTACTATTTTACGCTGATAATCTGTGAGAGCGTAGTCTTGCCCCCGTGAAGCCGACCAACTCGTGCTACAACTGTAATATAGCTACAGTGTTGCTCTATCACATATAAAATAAAAATTCATGTCAGGTAAATTAAATTGAAGCAATAGTACTTCGGAAAGCGAAGCAAGCGGCCGACCGCCTTAACCGTATAACGCCAAAGATTTTTTTATACGAAACAAATTACAAATTTGAAATATACGAGTGCCTTATTGGTTACCGAAGTGTTGTTTTGTTTACCGCCGTCGCGTCGGAGAAGAGGAACTCGCCCGGGCGCTCAAGTCGAGTGACTCGGGCAAGGTACGGTTGCTAACTGATATCATACACGCGCGTCTAGAACAATTATGCACTCTACGTACCACATCGGCCATTCTTACTCAAACTCTGTTCACTTTTTTAATGTAATTGAAATTTTATTAACTTATTTTTCATCTTCCTTAACGATTCATCACAAATTTACATATCATTTCTTTATCAAAGAATTAAATCATATGTTGATAATAAAATAAAAGTTTTTAACTAATAATGTAACTTTTAACTGTGGATAGAGTTTGAGATACAGTTTGATGTTGCGACATGTCAGATTTCAAATGTTAAATACCATAGAAATAATTTCGTAATTCACTTTTTTTTAAATAGAATAGAATATGATTATTTCTATTCAATATCGATTACAAGAATACTTGTTGAAAGTTGTTTGAGCTTTACCACTGCTTCCGATATAATATCTGTGCTGGAAAGAACCAGCAAGAAACCCATCGGGAATAGGATACTAAAATGACAAGTGATAAGACATTCTTGACAATGCAGTGTCATAGACATTCTTTAAATTGATTCTACCTATTGCGTCTCCTTACTGCTTTTAAACTTAATCCTTTCGGTTTTTGAATACATTATGGATAAATTATTGAGAGTATAGCTCTTGACAACAACCCTTATGGTTGTGATGATCAAAACAATTAAATTTTCGATGATTAATTAGTTGGATAAACTATGACCAATAAAGAAATAAGGTATGTCTCTACCATAATCTTTAAATTTCCTTTTTAAATTTAGTCAAGATATGATTTTTTTAAACTATATTTGGTTTCAAAACGTGTCGCAACACAATCTGTATATTTTAAATACAAAATAAATAAGTAAAATGGCACAGTTGTACTCGGCGGGCGTAATATTTATTTTATTAAATGTGTCAAAAGGGAGCGTCAGCGTACTAAATGTATAATTTGTTATACTAACAGAATTTGCATTAATTGATTTTAACGTTCGTCCCTTTCGACACATCAATATCGCTAGCAATGTGTGCAAAGGCCCCGATGACGGCGTCACCCGAATCTACCTGGAAATATCCGGAAGACGAGAAGAAATGAGAAGAGTCACCATATTACTCCTCGGATCACTTTTTCGCAATTATGTCTATAACATTGACTTTTATTTTTAATTTATATCCTTTCTCTGTGTGCTGGTGAAATTAGATGTCATTTTAAGTGTCAAATATTAGCGCCATTTCTAACCAGCATTTAGGTTAATTTTTTCGTCAGTTGTGAAATTGACAATTCGCTTTTTATGTTTAAATCACTTGGTGAAGGTAGGAATCGGTAAATAATATTATTATTCTATATTCTATATCATAGATATTAATATGCTATTTTATTAATTGACTATTAGTTATTTCACTTTATAGCTTAGCGTAGGGCATCAAAAATATTTTAATATAAAGCTTCGTAACAGTTTTATAAAATTGTAACATATTTTTATGAATTGTAATGTAAAGCAAGGGCTTTGACTATAATAAAAGATAGAACTTTACAACATGAATGAGCCCTTTATGTAGATAAGCAAAAACAAATTGCATGCGTCATTGTTTGTCATAATTGTGCTTAAATAAAAATTAAAAAGTTACAACAGTGATTTTTAATTGGGCTTAACTGAAGATTTATTTAGGATACTGTGTTAATTTTATACGGCAATAGAATAATATTTAGGCGTGGTTATTAATTGAGTAAATTAGTTTTATTTCACCTCTTAGATTTTACTCTCTAAAGAGGATTTTTAATTTATCTTCATAATTTTCAAATACTCAATTGATAATGGCTGGACTAACATAGTCTCGGGGCTTTTTGGCACACATTGTCTAGTTTGCTTGTCTTTTTTTAATTTTAATTACAGCTCTGCAGCTTCGCCTCATAGCAAGCTCAAGAGAAGAATTTCTTTCTTATGACAAGTTCTGTTTGTGGAAAAATTAGGTTGTTTTTTTTTTATAGAAAATGGAACGAAAAACTTCATTAACATCCTACCAATCACAAGTCAACTGCTGAACAATATCCTTCCTCGGCATTCTTCGCCTTCCTGCATCTCATCAAGAAATCATTCTAACTCGTGGCAGGGTCGCCCTGCACTACGCTTGCCAGAGCAAGACAGCCATTCTTGAACCTTGTTTTGTCAAATGATGTCGCTCGGTTAAATATTGCTGGCCCATTGCCACTTCTGCTTACTGATTGTTGTTGGGCTTAGAGATACAATTTTTTAAAAACCTGGCTATTTTTTTAATACTCAATCACTGACTCCGTTGCATAGCAGTCTCATGCAGTTTATATTTTGAGGACTGTGAGTTATGTTATAGTTGCAAGTAGATAAATTTATACTGATTAAATAAATTAAATACCATCTTCATTTTGTAGTGGTTGATTTAAAATTTTAGGTGTTTAAATAATGGAAGAAAAAATTACAAAGCAAAATTTATGATTATAAAAAGCCCACCTATCTTATAAACTACAGTGGATTTCGGGTATAACGACGATGAAGGGACCACTCTATTTTCGTCGTTATATCCGGAAGTCGTTACAGGCAAAGGTAAAGTGATACAGACACATACACATGTGTAGTTTATATTCATTTATTATTGAAAATATTTGCACACATAGTTATTCACCAGTACAATTGGAAATGCTACTCAGAATATCACTTTGTAACTGAACTATAAATTCCGAATCGTACACGCTTCCCTACCTACTTAGCTGATATGCTATAAACAAAAGGTAAAGGTCTCCACACTTGCTGACCATCTGGGTGTGGATGTAAACAGAAGATAAGAAATGTTTGTGAAAGAAAGAAATCTTTGTGTCTTTGGCGGCTGACTCCGGTTCCAATATCTGCATGGGATTTCTATGAATTTGTTACAAATGTTTCATTAAAAACAGTGGCTATGTACAACCAAGGTCGTAATAAATTAAATCCACTGTACCTACATAATCAAAGAGTAGAGTAATATACATATAAGTATAATTATAGAAAGAAAAATATAACAATGCATTTTCAATAGATGGCGCTGTTATAAAAAATTATGAAATAGATTGCAGCTTAGTTCAACTACATCACAACGTTCAGTTCTTTTATTTAAAAAAAAATTACATTATGCCGCTTATTGAATGATGGAAACATCGGCAATTATTATGGAAATAAAAACCTAATGAAATGAAAGACAACCCTCCTTTTTCTGTCTTCCGTAGTTGCATAAACTATGCGTTTTTCACTTCATTTTGCAACGTTAGCTCAATAACATTCACACTTCGAAAATTCTTTAAACATTGAAGATGTTTTGCACAGCAGCTGGTAAAATAAGATATCATCACTACCATCTATCAGAAGCTTAGAAATTATAAAAAATATTTATGTACGGAACTATCGTATTAAAAAAATTTAAGCACCTTTTGTCTAAGAAAAATATATTTACTTAATCGAAGTAATAACCCCTATTATTTAAACTCTTTCTGCTGTTATAAAATCTATTAAGGGTAAAAGTATGAAATCACAGTTTTATATTGAAATGTTCCAACACCTTTATTCACATGGAAAACATTATTTAATTAATCGAAGTACAAGTTACATGTTACCCTTAAAATCTAATTTCTGCCATACAAATGGCGGAAATAAAGGTTGGGGTTTGTCTGGTGAAAACAGAATGACGTATGGTTTACGACGTTTTGCGTTATCATGGAGCAAAAATGACGAAGTTCCTTTAAATTATAGTAATACCTATTAATTCATGTCTTCGAGACCAAACTTGATCACGGCGCCGGTCACTACAGGGACTAGCCATCTGCGCAGGACAGGATTACCGTGCAAACACAGGTGCCCTCCATTCCCTCATTCATAGTCCGATGCATAGATTACTGAATATATACTAGAGTCCGATGGGAGGGTAGACCAACACGACCGCAGAGAGATCAAAAGCAGGACCAACGGCTTCACGTATTTTTCGAGGCAAGGGGTAAAACATCTACAATTCCCTGACAGATATTACTGATAATTTTTCCAACTGATGTAGGTACGACTCCCACGAGCAACTATTGTTCGAAAACATGGCTATATCATGGTAGCTTGGAACAAGCCTCTCTATTTTCATTTAGGGACGATACCTAAGATGAAAAAAGATCTCGTTGGCAAGAATTTACTGGTACGATTTGGCAGTAAGCATGTAGTGATAGTTCTATAGACATATTAGATATTCAAATTCATTAAAATACAAATTTCAATGTAAAAAGAGCAACTGTAAGTCCTTATCGGGCTTTGAAAGCGTTCGGCGTTGATTAAATATTTAACCACCATTGGAGACAATCGGAAGATAATGAAGTAGCTGTACCTTTTCAAAATATGTATTCCTCA